CCCTGCTGGTTATTTAAAATACCAGTGGCAGAGCCCTCAGAATCACAGCAACTCAATCCACCACAGCATGACAGACAGACGAGTGGTGGACATTTGGTTTTATGTCAATATTGTCACTTTAAATTTCTATGTTAATCTTGACATAATCCTGATATAATCAAGACACAATCAAGATGTTCTCTCCTGATATTATCAATCCTGATACAATCAAGTTATTCTCTCCCAAGATGCTGGCTCCAGGAACAGCTGAGTGTCTTGATAGGTCAGCATATTAGACCACAATTCAGCCTATTAGGCCACAAGGTCAGTGGTTCCAAACCACCAGCTGTTCCTCAGAAACCCTATACAGGGTCGCTATAAGTTGGCACTGATTTAATGGCATGGAACAACCATAACAATCCAGTTATTTGTTGGGAATTACAAACACTGTTGCTAGAAGGGCCATGTGCTTTCTACTGAGAAAGTCCTTTTCTACCCTCTTTTCACGTGAATGATTATCTGAAGATTATTCTATACTTTATCTTTTCATTTAAATATTTTCTTTCTGTCTTTGACATTTATTGGAATTTAGTCTAAGATAAAGATATAAATTTCATTTCTTTCTAAATATGCATTCAACTGTACTTTCATCATTTATTAAATTATCTATCCTTTCCACATTGATTTGAAATGCCTTTAAATACTTGATTCTGTTTTCAAACTTTCAGTTCCCATTGATGTTCTGGTTATTTTGGGCGCTAGCACACCACTGTTTCAATTATTATATTTTTGATACATGCTAATATCTGGTAGGTTGAATTTCTCTTCGTTAATCTTCTTTTTCAAAATGTGTTTTTAGAGATTTTTAAATAGTTTCAATCTTATTTAACTGTAGTGGAACCAGACAAGAAATAGACTGAAAAAGTAGGCAGGGAGCAAACTATGCAACACCTGATTGATTTTTAAAAATTCATTTTTAATCCTATTTTTATTTTTAAAAAGATTGATTAAATGGAACTGTGAAGAACATAGAGGAGAGGGATGCGTAGAAAATAATTAGCAGTATGTGGCAATCCAGGCCAAAGATTGTTATTTGTAGTAGAGTGTTACCATGTTGTATATTATACACCCGCTCCACACCTATCACCATGGATAGTTTCCAAAGACCAGGTCACTCTACAAAAATTGGCATGCAGGATGATCACATCACCTCAAACCTCTCCCCCCACCCCCTATTGTGAATGTCCCACTGAGCTCCTGCTGAGGTCACCTATCACTGCCACCGTCCCCTCCCCCATATCACCTCAGGAAAGTTCAACCTCCACCACTGCTTGCAGGAGTAGGCCACCCAGTCTTTCAGATTCAGGGTGACCCAAACACTGCCACTCTTCCTACTCCCTCCCTCTCCTGAACTCCCCATATTTTCAGGTTGGGTGATCACAGTTTATCCCTTCTATGATGCCAAAACACCCTTGGTGGCTTTATTGGGACCAGAGAGATCCCTGAGCAAGGCAGGAGAGGCCAGGCCCTACAGTTGGGAGGTTGGGAAGTGCGAGGGAGTGCATGCTGCCCACTGGTTCTCCCACCAGTCTCTCCCCTGCTCATCCCCTGACTTTTGGTGCAGCCCTGCCCTGCCCTGCCCTTTGCACCCCCATGTCCCTATGAAATCAACAATCCAGAGCTTCCTATAAGGTCCTGATGGCCAGGTCTGGTCTCTGCCCTTGGGTTGAAATGGTAACTGCCTGTAACTGACCTGGCTGTCACAACCTCTGAGGCAGTGAAGTCATCCTATGCAGTATGGACTTCATTTTTATGTGCACACAGGGCCTGTCAGTCATAGACCCTGTTAGGGACCTCAGCGATCATTACTGCCAGACATATGTTGTTAATGTGTAAAATAGTTGATAATATATTTCCTATTGTCATAAATGGTAATATCAGATGAGATCATAGATAAATGAGGCGTAGGTATATCTGCATACATTGAAAAACTCGTCAGATGTTACAATTTTTTCTTTAGCTACCATGCATATATATTTTTAACTCTACAACACTCATGTATGTTTACCCATATGTTTACCATTTCTGTTGTTCTTTCTTCATTCCTGATGTTCCATATTTCCTTCTGTTTGAAGAACTTACTTTAGAAATTCTTTTAAAATAGATCTGATGGAAACAAATTCTCTTACAGCAAACCTTGCTGTTCAATGCTTTATCCCACAGTGCTATACTAGATTCTTTAAATTCTAATGCTGTTTAATCTCAGCATTGTTAATTTGGGATTATCTTTTCCCACAAAACTCAGGGTTTCCTAGTTCTTCATATACTGAATAGTTTTGGTTTGTGTATTTTGAGTTAAATATGGCCTTATTTAAATCTCATGGAGAATATTGATAGTTTTGGTTTAGTAATCATTTGACCTGACTACTAGTTCAAGTCACAAGTTCCAACCCCTCTTTTGGGGGCTGTGGTTCTAATGTCATTTTAGTTTCAAATATTTTTCAGTGCTATTCAGATGTATTCTGTATATGCTTTATCAGAGTCTCTCTGAAAGTTTTCAAGTCTTTGATATGCATATCTACAACTGCAGCTCAGAAGTGAGCCCAGGAGTTTATCAACAATTTATGTAGTCACCTTTTAGGGTTCCTCTCTCTCTCCATTCTTCTCAGTATGTACCAGTTTCCTAGCATCCTTCTTTTCATTCCTCTGTATAGAACACTGGGGTTTTAGTTAGCATGGTCTGCTAGAATGTTGAGCCAGCATGTGAAAGGTCTCGTAAAAGCAATACAAAATTCAATTGGATCAGTAAAAGGAAGGAAGATATGTTTTGGATTCAGACTGCCATCAGGTTATACACTGGAATCACTATTTCCTGTTTCATCATGGGCAGATAATATTAACTTCAGAACCTCTTTTAAAATTGTTAATTATATTATATGACATTCAAGATTGTTGTATGGAATTTATAATTAAAGTAATATAGGTAAAACATGCACCACATGCCTGATGTAGTAAACTATAGATATTATGGTAGTAGTTAAAAATAATAACTAAAACTATGTATTAAGGAGAATCTTTTCAGATGACAGTTGCAAATAATGTTTGCTAATGCTTAGATTGTGTGCTGAAATGCTGTAACATTTTCAGTAAAATGGGGAGTATTGTGGCATAGTGGATTAAGCATTCTGTTGCTAGCCAAAAGCTTGGCAGTTCAAACCCTCCAACCACTCCACAAGAGAAGATGATTCAGTCTGCCTCTGTAAATATTTGCAACCTTGAAAACCCTGTGGGACACTAATACTTTGTCATATGAAGTTGTTATGCATCGGAATTGACTTGTAAGCAGTGGGTTGGGTCAGTAAAGCATGTAAAACATTTTGGTTTCTCTGAGAGTTTTTCTACTGTTGTTTTTTAGATAAGAAATCCTGTTCTGTTATGTACTAGTACTCGAGTTTCATCCGCAGTGGAGATGATCAAGACTCTCTCAGAGGAAGTTGCAGCTTTATCTAACAAAGCTAAAACATATGCAAGTTACCAGGAACATTTTGATGATTCCCAATCTCATATGCAGTCTTTTAATATGGAGGAAACTACACAGGCTGTACTTTCAGAGGTCTCTGAAATTGAATGTGACTTGACTTTGAGAAAATTATTGTGGGATGCACAAGAAGAATGGAAAACACTCTTCTGGGAATGGAGAAACAGTACTCTTCAAACTATTGATATAGAATCCGTACAAAGAAATGTTTCAAAATGGATGCACCTCATCTTAGTACTCGAAAAAGGTAAAAGTTTCTTTCTCAAGTTTTCCCACCTAAGATTATACACACAGTTTTGCTCTGGGCTTGCAAAATCATCGTTCTTGGCCTTGTTTCTTCATCTTTTCCTGTGGGCTGAAGAGAAAGTACAGGAATGTAGGTAGGAATTTATTTGCTGAGGCAAGTAATTTTACAAATTATTTTTTTTAAGTATTAACAATTTCTGTATCCTCTAAAAGTGGTTGGACACAGAGAGGGGCTGTGTGTGATGACCGGCGGGGGGGGGGGGCAGGCTTATAGGGTATACCCTTTGGTTGATTGATGATGCATAGAGGGGATTGTAACCATGGCAGTGAAACTATATACTATAGAATGAATGTAAAACTAATGTTCTCCCATGTAAACTATCACATAATTCACAATAAAACATTTTTAAAAAAGGTTGGTTAGCTTAGGGCAGAATCCCAGACACGTCACCATACTTCGAGCTCTTAGGGTATGAGTCCAGATGCAGAATCTGTACCAAATTACTAACTGTGTGAGCCTAAAATCATCATCTTTTCGGCAATGGGGGAAATAGCAAAAAAGTCATTTCAGGTGGTTTTCCTTATACTAACAATCAAACTCGAAATCATTTGCCGATTCCGATATGCTGGTCCTGAGCATCCTGGTACATCAAATCACTTCCAGAAGGAAAGTTTTGTTTCACCTGGCCAAGAGATTGTCTCACTTTTTTGACTCCTGCCTTCTGCCTCAGCTATGCCACAAGCTATTCTTTCTTCTCTAGAAATGTCAATAAAACCTTTTATTTTAAATTACACGAGAAATGTAACAATATCACAGAAAGTTCAAAAAAAGAGGAAACTTGGATAAATCACCACTGTGTTAATGTAATAATCACTTTGTGCACTTGCACACAATATTTTCTCATATATATGTTTCAGAAAGCCATCTATAGAGTAACAAGTAAATCATGCTTTCTTTTATCCATAGTTTTCTAAATAAAATCTTACTGTTTCCTAAAGTCTGGTCTGGCAAAAGTTCAAAGCTATTAATTTGTCTTTCTATTTAAACAAAAGCTTTAAAAGCATTTTGCTATTCAACATGGATTTATAAAGAAGCCCCATCTATACAAATAGGTTTGTCTGCCCTTCCCTTTTATAAGTTGAGTGAAAAAGTTATGAATTGAACCTAGTTGCATAGGTTTTGAGTCCTATCCCTCAGTAGTTTGTCAATGACAGATGATAGACCAATACTGGTTTTGAAAAAATAGCACCAACTATTCCGCCCACAGCCCTCACTACTCATCTGGGTTCAATCGTTTATTGCAGTGGCCACACAGAACTCAGACAGCAAACTCACGGTTATGGGGTTCATTATGAAAGTTGACAGGTTACAGTTCAGGGTCAGAAATGTACAGAGCACAGTTCTTCCCATCAGGATAGCCTCTACTCCGTTGTGCTTACAGACAAGCCTCTCTCTGGACCTTGGTCCCTTGGCTTGGCCTGGACTCTGCAATGTTACAAAGCATACCACACCACACCACAGGAACCTCAGCCTGAAGGCACTCAGCTTTTGCTCTTTGGGTCCACAAATCTAGTTCCCCAATTCAGTGTCTGGAGGGACTCTACTCTGCAAACAAGCCTCCTGCCCAAAGTCACTCTACTTGGAGACCCACTGTTCTGTCTCATGCTCTGGCTCTTGGTTCTGCTGCTGCTTTTCTTCTACTCCTGTGGTGCCATAGCTTTCTGTCCCTGGGTTGAGGGAGTTCTAGGCACAGGGATCTCAGGGCTTTGTCGACGAGGTCCTATGTCGGGGTCCCACCTCGACAAGGAAGTGTGGGTGTCATGAAGAAGGGAGATCTGGCGGTGAAAGCGATAGAGAAAGAGAGAGATGAAGTATATACAAAAAAGACAGACACACAGATATGATGCAAGCTGGCAAGTAGACAGATCTGCAAACAAATTGCCTAGCATTGCCTGCAGAACTCACTTTACCTCAGCCTTTTATTCTCTTTTTTAGGGAGGGATTTGTTACAAAGGAAGGATGTAATTCACTCAGGGAGGATGTCACAAAGGGAGGATGTGATTAAGACAGGATACAGAACTGAAATGTGATTAATCATTCAAAACAGAACATAATGATTCACAGGAACAACTTTTAAGATATTTTCATAGTTTTTCTTAACAATCTAACATTTTTTATTTTTACAGAAAAAAGGTTCAATCAAGCTGTTATATATTAACTTTTAGGCTTAAATGATTTAGAGTAGCGACGTGAGGTTTCTTAAGGATACATAACATAAAGCAAGGTTTCTGAAAGGAGCCAAGCTGTCTCTGTACACTTTGCAAACTTTTGTTTGTGAGCAAGATCTCAGGCACCGGGCTTCATTTATCTATACCTAAAATGCTACATTGTTCTTAATATTCCTATATACTTTTAGGAGGAAGGAGAGCATCTGGGTTAAACTGATTATATTTAGAGGTGGTTTAATGGGGCTGCCACTGATCAACCCAGGGTCTGCATATGCTGTCCCCAGCAGGGCTTCACTCTTGGCCCTTCTTTGATGGCAGTGAGATTTCCCCATCCCACTTCTGAGATAGTTCATACTATACTCACATAAAGTTTCAAGTTTTTCCAATTACAATAAACTCTGTGAACCATCACTCACATCTGAATCATAGAACTCTTTCAAAATCTTCCCTCACCTTCTTTGATCCTGATCTATTAGAGGGAAAGAAGTTCTGGTAGCATAGTGGTTACGAGTTGGGCTGCTAACATCAAAGTCAGCTAGTTCAAAACTACCTGCGGTTCCATGGGAGAAAGATGAGGCTTTCTGCTTCTTTAAAGATTGTGATGGTAGATTTTTTTCTTAAGTTTTATTCCTTATGTAGCAAAATTTAAATGTCCAAAACCTATGAAAGTCTTCTGAATATGTATGTGTGTGTGTGTGTGTGTACCTGTGTTCTTCATATTTATGTTATCACTGAAATCGGGAAAAAACTCTGATAGCTGGTCATCTCTTTTACATGGTGACATGACCTTCATTGTCTTGGCTCCTAATCATCAGTCCTGATAACTCTTTCCCTTTTATTTAATCCATACTTGATTCATACAGAAGTGTAGTATTAACTACAAAAATTTTAACAGTTTCAATTAAACTGTTAACATTTTATATAAATATTACAGGTGGGTGCCAAATTAATCTGTTGCTAATTATGTCTTAAGAATTTTTAGTTCAGTAGAAACCAGTGTATGTGGTTCTTATTTAGCCTTAAATTAGTGCAAGAAATAACTAAAAAACTTTTCAGTGATTTAAAACTGCATGTGCACCAAGTGAAGATAATTTGATGAAGAATTAGTTGAAAGTAGTGCTTGGTTCAATTGTTTCATTTGTTGTTGTTGTTGTTGTTAAGTGCCAGTTGAGTCGATTCCGACCCTTAGCAACCCTGTATTGGGTTTCCAAAGGAGCAGTTGGTGAGCTTGAAGCACCAACCTTGCAGTTCAAACGACTTTGCAGTCTGACTCATTAGCCAATAGCGCCATACCAGAACTCCAATTGTTTCATAGTGAAGCCATAAAACAGATTTTGAGCTGAAACAAACCTGCTCCTGCTCAAAGATGGCAGCAGTTGTTTTGCATAGATGTGGTTCTCCACTATTAAACAATTGAACGGACCACTACTTGCAACTAATTCTTCATTAAATTACCATACCTGTATTTTAATGCAGACTGACAGCTGATCAACCATTACATTAAATAGCATATTTTAAACAACATATTTTAACGATTTTTCTTTTCTCAATTTGTTTTTTGTTTTAAAAAAATAGGATATGTCATAAGCATACTAACTTCTTTTTATTTACAGGTTTGCCTAAAAATGATATGGTAGCACAGTTTAAGCAATCAGTGGCAGATTTTAAACAAGAACTGCCAATCATCATAGCTCTGGGAAACCCCTATCTAAAGCCAAGGCATTGGGAGGCTCTCCATGAGATTATTGGAAAGTCAATTTCCCTTGATAAAAACTGTTCAGTTGAGAATCTTCTAGCACTCAAGGTAAGTAAAAGTAACTTAAAAATACTAGAGGGGCTGGTTTTAAATAGGAAAGTAATAAGATTTAGGGGGAAAAAAGCATATAGAGTATCTGGGAATGTAGAATTATATTAGTAGATAGTTGATAAGAAATTGTTTAATTAGAGATACTGGGTTAGCTATTGTTGTTGTTGATAGGTGACATCGAATCGGTACCGACTCATAGTGACCTTATGCACAGGATAACGAAACACTGCCCAATCCTGGGCCAACCTCACTACTGTTGCCACACTTGAGTCCATTGATGCTGCTATTTGGCCAGTCCATCTTATGCACAGGATAACGAAACACTGCCCAATCCTGGGCCAACCTCACTACTGTTGCCACACTTGAGTCCATTGATGCTGCTATTTGGCCAATCCATCTTGTTGGGGGTCTTCCTCTTTTTCTCTGACCCTCCACCTTACCAAACATGATATCCTTCTCCTGTCAATGGTCCCTCCTAACAATATATCCAAAGTATGAAAGACAAAGTTTGGCCTTCTTGGCCTCTACGGAGCACTCTAGCTGCACTTCTTTCAAAATGGATCTATTGGTTCTTTTGGCAGCCCATGGCACTTTCAATATTCTTCTCCATCACCACAACTCAAAAGCATCAGTTCTTCTACGATCATCCTTATTCATTGTCCAGCTGTCACATGCATATGAGGTTATTGAAAATACCATAACTTGGGTCAGGCACACCTTAGTCCTCAAGCTGACATCTTTGTTCTTCAAAACTTTAAAAAGGTCTTGTGCAGCAGATTTGCCTAATGCAGTACATCGTCTGATTTCTTGACTGCTGCTTCCATGAGTGTTGATAGTTATCCAAGAAGAATGAAGTCCTTGGCAACTTCAATCTTTTCTCTGTTGATAAGAATGCTGTTTATTGGTCCAGTGGTAAGGATTTTTGTTTTCTTTATATTGAGAAGTAATCCATACAGAAGGCTGTGCTCTTTGATCTTCATCAGTAAATGTTTTAAGTCCTATTCACTTTCAGCAAGCAAGGTTGTATCATCTGCATATCGCAGGTTGTTAATGAGTCTTCCTCCAATCCTGATGCCACGTTTTTCTTCATATAACCCAGCTTCTTAGACTATTTGCTCAGCATACAGGTTGAATAAGTATGGTGAAAGAATATAAACTTATCACACACCTTTCTTAATTTTAAACCATTCAGTGTTCCCATGTTCTACTCAAACAACTGCCTCTTGGTCCAGGTACAGATTCCTCATGAGCACAATTAAGTGTTCTGGAATATTCCTGCTTCGCAATGTTGTCCATAGCTTGTCATGATCCACACAATTGAAAGCCTTTGCGTAGTCAATAAAACACAGGTAAACATCTTTCTGATATTCTCTGCTTTCAGCGGAGATCCATCGAACATCAGCAATGATATCCCTTGTTCCACGGCCTCTTCTGAATCCACCTTGAACCTCTGGAAGTTCTCTGTCAATGTATGCTTGCAGCCATTTCTGTATTACCTTTAGTAAAACTTTACTCGCATGGGATATCTAAGAGATTGTCTGATGATTTCTGCATTCTGTTGGGCCACCTCTCTTTGGAATGGGCATAAATACGGATCTCTTCCAATCAGTCGGCCAGACAGTTGTCTTTCAGATTTCTTGGCAGAAATGAGTGAGTGCCTCCTGTGCTACCACCTCATTTTCTTGAAAGATTTCAATTTTTATTCCATCAATTCCTGGTGCCTTGTTCTTTGCCAATTCCTTCGATGCACCTTGGACTTCCTCCTTCAGTATCATTGGCTCTTGATCATATGCTACCTCTTGTAACAGTTGACCATGAACCATTTCATTTTGGTACAGTGACTCTCTGTATTCCGTCCATCTTCTTTTGATGCTTTCTACATCATTCAATAATTTGCCCAGAGAATCTTTCAATAACGAAAGTCGAGGCTTGAATTTTTTCTTCCGTTCCCACAGCTTGAGAAATGCTGAGTGTGTTCTTCCTTTTAGGTTTTCTGAATCCAGATCTTTGCACATTTTATTGTGGTATTTGGCTTTATCTTCTTGAGCTGATCTTTGAAATTTTCTGTTCAGCTCTTGCACCTCCTCATTTCTTCTATTTGCTTTAGCATCTCTACGCTGGAGAGCAAGTTTCAGTGTCTCTTCTGACATCCATTTTGACCTTTTCCTTCTTCCTTGTCTTCTTAATGACTATTATGCCATTATTATCTTTGTGATTGTTGTTGTTGTTATTGTTAAGTACCGTGGAGTCAGGTCTGACTCATAGTGACCCTGCATAGTGACCCTGGGTTTCCAAGGCTGTAAATCTTTAGGAGAGCAGAATGTCTCATCTTTCTCCCACGGAACCACTGGTAGTTTTGAACTGCCGACCTTGTGGTTAGCAGCCTATTCATAACCACTACCTACCAGAGCTCTTTGTGATTGTTGTTGTTGTTGTTAAGTGCCTTTGAGTCAATAGGAAACAGTAATAAAGGTTTTCATGTGTGACAAATGAAATTAATGTATTACTATTTTACAGTACTGTTTCTTATAGAGAATACATTTTATAGGAATAGATTACACACAAATACTATATTCCATTTCATATTAAATTAGAATATATTAAGAGCATGTTAGGAGGGCCCTGCCAATAATTTGATATTTAAATTGTATAATTAGCACCTATTTTATTTGTTATGTAACTTCTGTTATAAAAATAGGTTTTTTTTTCCTGGATTTCTATAGCTAAAGAATTTCTACTTTCATGCCTTGCTTATAATAAGCTTTGGTTATGTTTCTAGATTCAAAAGTGACAGTGTTCAATGCAATAAAAAATAGCTTTTCAAGCATATAATTTTCTACTTACTTAATGATTTATTGTAATCAAGAACATGGGGAGATGTTTTGTCTCTCGGGTCTAAAAATCATTTAAAAACATATTTTAAATTTACTTTAATAATTTGATTATTTTTCATCTGTAGCCATCAACTTCTTTCCTGAACTCCAGACTCCTATATCCAATTTCATATTCAACATCCCCATTTAAATGTCTAAGAAATGTCTCAAAACTTTGTACTCTTCATTTGCCATTTTGACTCAATTTCTGCCATCCTTCTATCTTCTCAGTCTCCATTGAAAGCAGCAGCTTCATTTCCAATTGTGCTTAGGCTAAAATCATGAAATAATCTTTTAATTTACTCTTGTTCTCATACTCCTTATCCTATCTAAATCTCTCATCCTTTTCTGGATTATTACCATAAACTCCCAACTGGTATCTGTGACGAGATATGAAGTCAACAAGTTATCTAGATAAATTCAGAAAAAATGTGCACCAATGCCAAAAGATAGGTTTATTCATACCACCAACCTGAAAATCTAGCACAATTTTGATAATTTATTCATTTTCCAAGTCTTGGGTAATTGAAATCATTACAGGTCATGTCAGATAAAGGGTGGGAATTTGGCAAACTAAATGTGTGTTGTTGTGAAGTGCCATCAACTCTTAGTGAAACTATCCAGAGTTTCCAAGCACTGGCTTGTGGGTTTGAACTGCCGACCCTGTGGTTGGCAGTCTAGTACTTACCCTACAGTGCCACAGTAGGACTCTGGACTAAATATATAGTAAGCAACAAAAAATAGAGTAGATAGAACTCGTGGTCTGTAGTATCTCAAAAGGGTCTAGTGAGCTAGCCTTACATTTCTAGAACTAATGTTGTTGTTGTGGTTAAGTGCCGTTGAGTCGATTCTGACTCATAGCGACCCTGTATAGGATCATGATAAAAAGGAAACCCCACACAGTGTTTGGATGGTTAAACTAGCATAGTCTGATATCTGAAGAAAAATTAACAAGATCTTCAGCCCTCTTGAAATTGTGTAGCTAGGAGTCTTTCTTGATGTTAATTATAGTAGAATAAGGGTGGTGTGGTAGCATAGTTGTTACGAATCGGGCTGCGAACCTTAAGGTCAGCGGTTTGAAACTACCAGCTGCTCCGCGGGAGAAAGATGAGGCTTTCTACTCCCGTAAAGATTTACACCCTCTGAAACCCTGTACAGGGTCGCTATGGGTTGGAACCGACTCGACGGCACATAACAACAACAACAAGGGTAAACACTAGTAAACTCCATGAGTTTCAAGATGCTTTTGATCATCCTGTAGAAATTCTGACAACTTAAACAGTATAACACAGGTACCTAAATAAGTAGACAGGATTTGGACCTGAAACTTTGACTTCATGTACTAAAGGCATATATTTCTTGCAACTTACCCCAGAGACTGGTCTGCTACAAGATGGTCCAGGACAAAGCAAATACTATCAAGTAAATGGATTATGATGTCACATACCTATGTGACACCTGTTCTCTCTAAGTTACTGGGCAGGTTTAGATTCAATAATAATTATAAAAGATCAATACTATTATGCATAGGATGAACAGTATCTCTTTATGGTTGATCATTTTCACTTAGAATTACATCTGCTTTACAATAGAAGCAGATAAGTAATTGTAGACATTCTGATTCCTTTGAAAGTTCACCAGTATCCCTAAATCAATGGTAAAGGCCAACATTTTATCTCTCAGGTCCAAACAATGCCCATAAAGACTTGACAGAGCTGGAAATTATTTGGTTAGACTTTTGCCTTACAATTTATCAGTACTGAGTTTTCTCTTTAATTATCTCAGACTGTCAGCATTAAACACAGAGTTTGTCCTTCAGTATAGAATGTTGATTGTTCTATAGTTTCTTATCTGCATTTGACTGAATAATATATGTCAAAAGGTTGGCCTCATTCCCAATGTTGTTGCTCAAGGTTATAAGACCACCACCCATATTTTAGTTTGTCATACTCTGGTGACTTGCATGTTGCTATGATGCTGGAAGCTATCCCTCCTGTGTCTCAAATATCTGTAGGGTCATGCACCATAGACAGATTTTAATGGAGCTCCCAGACTAAGACAGATTACAAACAAGGCCTGATGATCTGCTTCCAAAAGTTAGCCAGTAAAAGTCTTATGGATAAT